CCCCGCCCCTCCCCGCCCCACCCAGGCCTGCCGGGTCTCCGCCCCGCCCCCTCTCTCGTTAGTGCTGGCTTCTCCTTGTTCTTTGCCTCAGGCGCTCCACACTCCTCGCTGGTGTTTCTTTTCTGGCTACCTGGTGGGGCAGGAAAAACAAATTGGGATTTTTTTTGGGGGGGGGTTTAAAATCTCCAAAGTTATAAAAAGACAAACAAACGAAAGAATTTTAGAAGTATCCTTTCTTTTGAATGAGAAACGACTTGTTATGGTTTCTAACTCCTGTCACCTTCCTGGAAGGTGAAGGGTTCCCTTCTCTGGCGAGGCTCTTCTGTGATGTAAGGTTGGGCTGAGCTGAGCCACGGCTACAGGGTTGTTCATCCCACGGTTCTGCCACTGCCTCCAGACAGACGCTCCCTTCCGCATCACTCCTTGGGTGCCCTGTCCTCTGCTTGCTCCTCTCCTGAGGGCTCTGTGTCATCTGCTTTGGTTTTGCCATTCAGATGGGAATATAAGTGTTGCTTCGCAGAACAAGGCTGCCAGCTGCTTCTGCACCCAACCTGTGATAGAATCCACTCTGTGTTTCCATTTCAAGTTCTTGGAGGGCTGGTCCTAATCTGTAAACAGCGTCTTGCCTGGTTCCGTCATGACCGAGCCCCGCAGTGGGTGGCTCTGACCAGCACTGCAGGCAGGTGTTACTCTTTTCCAGATCTTTAACCAGGAAATCCTACAGAGCATGGCCAAGCACTCTGTCACCTTGGTGGCCTGGCGAGGTCCCCACTTCTCAGTGCAGGGGATATGGGTGTTGGTGTCCCAGAGCTCAGTCTTCCTGGTTGACATCTTTGGCTCCCCCCCTAGACATCTATCTGCCTGTCCTTCCTTCTGCCCTGGCCTGGCGGCCTCATGGTCCTAACCTGACTTGGAAATTCCTCCTCACTCCGCTCCTGCGACTTTCTTCTGGCCCTTGTTCCATTTTCTAGCACAGACTTGGGCACTTGTGAGTGACAGCTACCTTACGAAGGGGCAGACTGTGGGTGCCCTTGGGGCCATGCTGGGGGTGCCCCCTCTCCATACCCCTCCAAGAGGAGGAGGAAAGAGCCAGCCTGTCCAGAGTTTTAAACAAGCGGTGGAAATCCTCCAATAGTTCTGACGAGTTACCCCATCATTCTCCCTCTGTGCAGCCACCTCCTCGCCTTCTCTTTAATTAGAATCCCTGGTCTGTCTTGATAACAATTTCTCCTCCACACACAGCTGGCCCCTTCCTTACCCTCTCTCAGCCCCCACACACCAGAGAGAGCTTCCCCGGCAAAGCTTGCTGCTCCTTCAGTCTCCTGCCCACTCAGCTCTCCGCCGTGCACTCAAGCCGCTGAGTACGGCTGAAGGGAAACCCACCGTCTCAACAGGCCTCGCCTTAAATCTAGGATGGCACGTCTTAAGTGGGCCTGTAGGGTCGCCGGGCAGTCCTACTACATTTTCCTTGAAAAATTCTCTCACTCACTTTCCAAGACGACTTTTCACACTTTCTCCTCTCGCCTCAAACCACCAACATTTCTCTTTTCCTTTCCAGGTTTTTCTTTGACTGAGAAAATAAATATGAGCTAGCTCTCACATATTCCCACCATCACTTCCGCCCCCTGCCTGCTCTGAGCCTGCCCCGGGGGAGGGCGTGTATCTGAGCTACCTGTGCTCTGGATCCCATCCTCTCTCTGTGACTGTGAAGAAACTCACCGTGTACAGTCTTGCCTGTGTGCCAGGTTCAGTTCTAAGTGCCTTCTGTGTTAACTGATGTCATCCTTACAGCAGCTTGGGGGAGGTGGGAGTAATATCAGTTCCATTGATGAGGAAGCCCAGACCCAGCACAGTTCAGGCCTTGACCCAAACCACACAGCTGTAATGGTGTCTGCGGCCTGAGTGCAGGTGCACAGCTGCTCTACAATGCTGAGTCTCCCTGGATGTCACTCCAGCCCCTTCCCTTTCTCCAGAATGGTCAGGTGCCCCTCCCTGCCAGATCATACCCATCAATTTACTAGCAGGTCTGGCATCTCCTATTTTAAGAACCTACCCATGACCCCATCTCTCTCTCCACCTGTACCTTAATGTCCCTGTTCTTTTCAGCCAAATTTCTGGTAAGAATTTTCTATATTTGCTGGACCTTCTGTCCTAATTTTCTATTGAACCACTTCAACCTGACTTTTGCCCCTATCATTCCTTGAATGCAACTTTTGTCCAGGTCACCAGTGCCCTCCCAATGTCAAAGCCAGAGAGACGCTCTCTCAGTCTCTTACCCCTCTAGAAGCAGCCTCCTTCCTGTCTTCCCTGACGCCGCCCTCTTCTTGGTTGTCCTCAGTTGTTTCTGGTCACTCCTCTGTGTCTTGGGTTGGATCTCCCTCTGCTGGCCACCCTCCAAGGGCAGGTGGCCCAGGCTGTGGGCTGGACCCCTTACCTTCCTACCTGCATTCAGCTTCCTGATGATCTCACCCAGTCTCAAGGTTTAAATATTATTGATCTCCAGCTCTGACCTTCCCTAGGCTTCCAGCATTTCCATTTGACAACCACTGAATTACTGTAGCTCAAATAAAGTTCTGGATCTCGCTCTTTGTCATTTAGTTTCAATTTTCAGTAAGATGGGGGGGGGTCTTCCTCCCACACCTCCCATCATCATTACCAGCAGGGCTCTACCTTCAAATTCCATCCCAATCCAACCATCTCTCTCTTCTTCCTGGACTACACAAGCATCACCCTCAGCCTGGGTTTAAACAGCCGCCTCATGCATCTTTCTGTTTTGTCTCTTGCTCTGTTCTTCATCCTTTAGCCAGGGTCATTTCTCCAAGTCAGACCCGGCTCCTGCTCCTTTCTCCTCCCTTATTCCCTAAACTCTCTCTGTCCCTCCCTGCCCCCCAGCTCCGTCTTCTCAGCTGTTCTCATTGCATGCTCATGCCTACCTCAAGGCTTTGCCCTTGCTCGCCCTCCTTTGGGAATGCTTTGCTATAGACACTGACCTAAATTAAGCAAGAGAATGACTATTTTGGTGTGGTTTCTGGTCAATCTTTTCCTAAGCAGAAATGCTTTCCTTAATCATTCTGTTTAACGAAACAGTGCCTGGCATCTTCTGCCTTCTTGCCAGCCCTGATCTGAGTGTCTCCCATCCCTGGTGGGTCTGTTGGCTGTCATGCATCTCCCGAGGGGCATGTGGGCTGTGAAGGCAAAGACATCCTCGCTCTGTCCCTTGCCTAGAACAGCACCTGTGAGGGGCTCAGTAAATGTCTGTTGTATTTTTTGAATAGTGACAAGTACTAATCCTTCAATATTACAGGACATATATGACTAAAAAGAGCTTAAAAGTAATATTTTAAAAACCTCTGAATGATAGAGGTAAAGAGCATGCGTGGAAGAAGTTGTGTAGAGGTAGGAAAGGAGTCTCAGAGTTCCCGTGTGGCTCAGCTGGTCCTTCTTCCCTCCCTTCTCCACGCTGTGACAAGGATTCCCTGTCGCAGTCACTGCTGGGCTGAGAGCCCAGGTGAGAGGCCAAAGGGAGGCCTTCTGTGAACTCTGGGCCCTTAGGCTGCACCCATGGTGAGGGTGGGGCCTCAAGATATTCCTAGTAAGCTAAAATTGGTAAAGCAAAGAGAAATTGGGGATCCTATCTTCCTTAAATCCACTGCACTTGGAGCATAGAAAATGATGAGTTGTAAATGTTAACTCTTAACGCGATCATCATAATTTCTTTGTGTGTTGCTTCTCTGTCCTCTTTTGTGTCCCACTTCCCAGTTGGATTTGGAGACGTTGCTGTGATTGTCTCTAGTCTCTCTACAGGGAGAACAGGCTCCAAGAGTGAGTCTGGGTGTCTGGCACCTGGTGTTATTGTGGGTTCTGCTCGCTGCTGTGGGAGAACAGAAGGAAAAAATGCCAAAATAATGAATTTTTAACATTAGGAGATACAAAGCAAGTGGAACGACTCTTTCTGAGTTCTGTTAGTGTATTGGGGTCTTTTCTGATAACCCCCTCGTGACCCCCAGAAACAGGAATGGGGATGTTTCCTGCCCTGCAGTAAATACAAACATCTTAATAACAACCCATGTTACCTCACCTTTGACTCCCAATAAACGTAGTGTATGATGTGTGTCTGACACAGCTGTGGTTTAGACAGTTCAGAATATGGGACACACAGTGGTCACAGAGCCCTGTCTGACTTGGGTTATGAGAACTTGTTTTAGAAGGTCCTCATTATTTTGCAGGGTTTGGAAGATTTCAAAGGATCTGCTTGTTGGATCGTGCACTTGCTGTGTGTCTTCATGTTGCCCTTTGGTTTTTTTTTTTGCCTAGAGGGAGAGGAGGATGAGGATGAAGAGGATGAAGAAGATGAAGATGAAGAAGAGGAGGATGAGGAAGAAGATGAGGAGGATAAAGATGCGGACTCCCTGGGTGAGGGTTTGGACGGCGCTGCGGAGCTGCCGGGGTTCACGCTCCCTGGTGTCACATCCCAAGAGCCTGATACCGAGCAGGGCAGCATGGGCCTGCTGGAGGGAGCCACCTACCAGGTGCCAGACGCCATTGAGTGGGAACAGCAGAACCAAGGCCTGGGTGAGAGGAGTCTGCTTCTTTTCTCTCTTCCCTCCCCTCCTTTTATTTTTTTCTAAAGTGACAACTTTTTTTAATTGGCATCTGTTGGGAAGCAAAATGGATTTTCTTTTTTTTTCTTTCCAGACAGGGTCTCACCCTGTTGTTGGACCTGGAGTATAATGGTGCAATCATAGCTCACCACAGCCTCCAATTCCTGGGCTCAAACGATCCTCCTGCCTCAGTCTCCCAAAATGCTAGGTTTACAGGCATGAGCCATGGTGTTGAGCCCAAGATAGACTTTCTGTACTTATGGGTGGTTCGTTTGGGGAAAAGCTATCCATTATTATCATTATTATTATTATTTTGAGACAGAGTCTTACTTTGTCACCCTCAGTAGAGTGCTGTGGCATCACAGCTCACAGCAACCTCAAACTCTTGGGCTTCAGCTATTCTCTTGCCTCAGCTTCCCAAGTAGCTGGGACTACAGGTGCCGGCCATAACGCCCGACTATTTTTTTGGTTGTAGTTGTCGTTGTTGTTTAGCAAGCCTGGGCTGGATTCACGAGTCACTCAGTGACATGAACAGTTTCTTCAGAAAATTGCCGCTCCACGATGTAGTAAACATAGGGTGACCAGACGTCCCGCTTTTGGCAGGACAGTCCCGCTTTTGAACAATTTGTCCTGTGTCCCGCAGCATTTTAAAAAAGTCCCGATTTTTGGAAAGAATGCACGAACGGGCAGGAGAACAAGAAGGGAATATACGGTTTTCGGCTGCCATGTGGCTATTTCACCAGAATATGAATTTTATATTATTTTTGTTAATTTTATAATGTTCGTCCCCTGCCCGGTCCCCGTCCCTCCCCCCGCCAAGTTGTCCCGCCTTACAGATGTTAAAATCTGGTCACCCTAGGTAAACAGCCAGGCTCCGGGTTCCTGCTGCCCGTCAGGGACATGGTTGCCTGATTTAAAAATGAGCTGTGTTTCCTTCCCAGCTGGAAGACAGTTACAGGCTGTAGGGATTCTTCCAATGGTGGGAGGGAGGAGTGAGTAGTCCGTGTGCTGAGCCAGATGCACGAGTGGACTGGGCTGGGGAACGATCGCATTTTGTCCCTCTCTGTCTGTGCAGAGTTTATTCCCAAGGGGAAATTCTCCGGCTTTCATGGGGGCAGTCGGCAGTCCCCAACTTGTGTCTTGACTCTCATGCTGCATTACCTTGTCAGACACACTTTCATTTCAGCAGCACAGGGTTCAGACCACCTCGTGTTCCGAGAGGAGCTGGAGGATGCAGGCTGACCCCCAGCTCAGCTCTCCCTCCTGGCCGGCACAGAAGGCCCGGTCTGCCCCTGCTCCAGTCAGGGGGAGGTGCCGTTAAGCTGCGAGTGACTCCTGCAGTCCTCACTCTCCTGACCTGATTGAAGTGACCTCTTCTCCAAATAAATTCACTCTCTACAATTCTCTTTAAGAGCTGGACCCATTTATACCTTTAGGTGTAAGAGTCAGACAAACTAGTAAAATTGTTGGTTTGGGTGGTATTTCACTGAAATTTGGGAGAAGTTGGTCTGGGACTTTGCTCTGGATATAACTGTGGGGTTATCACGCTGCAGGTTGGTGCAAAGGTGGTAGTTGCCACGCAGATGGAATTCCCATGGAGTCTGCGTATGGCAAGGGGAGGAGGGGGGTGGGCTTCCAGGGCACAGGCAGCATTTACTCAGTTATTTTCTGGCCAAATTCAACACGTATTGGGCATTGATTGCTTTAAAAACACGTCGAATGAAACTGATTAAAGCTTATAAAGTTATCAAAACATTGTGATACCAAATTTTATAAACACACTCAAAATAATCTGAACAGTGGTCTGTGAAGAAGTTAACACTAAGTTGATGTGCTCCTGTTCTCCATGTGCAGCTTTGAAGTGAATGGAATAAAATACAACATGCAAAGACCCCTTATTATTAAGCAGTTCCATGTTAAAGCTTATTGGGCCTGAGGCTCAGGACAGACAGCCCTGTCCTCCTCCTGTCCTGCCTCCTGGTTTCCATTCCCAGGCATGGCTGAGTGATTTGTTATGCTTTTAAAAGCGACTTTCCTAGGTCTTGAGATTTTTAAAAAATAGCAGATTTTCCTTCCATTGTGATAATTTACTTTGTCCTAGGGGTCTCTTACCTTTTGCAGTCACTTTATTTTCCTGACAAATCTATTCTGTCAACATGTTTCTAGCATTGAGGGTTTTCCTGGAAATAAAAGCAAGGAGCCCATGTTTCAGGCTGTTCGCTTATGTTTGTTGTCTGGGTCTAGAATTTTATCAGCCAACCCACTGTCTAATGCAAGGACAAGAGTATCTCCTAGTAACTCAAAATCAATAACTCCTGGGTCAATGTTAATTGGTACAGTTTCCCAAATACTTTAAGATCACATGAAATAGGGGAAAACCTCCCCTGCTTGTGATGGATTTCTTTGGTAGGTAAAATACTGACTCCCTAGATGTGCTTGTGTCTTAATCTCTGGAACCTGTGAATAAGTTACCTTACATGATCTCATTAATTAAGAATCTTTAGATAGAGGCAGGGTGAGGTGGCTCACGTCTATAATCCCAGCACATTGGGAGGAATGCTTGAGGTGAGGGGTTAGAGAGCAGTGTGAATTATATAGTGAGACCTTGTTTCTACAAAAAATAAAAAAATTTAGCTGGGCATAGGTGGTGTGTGTCTGTAGTCCCAGCTACTTGGGAGGCTGAGGGAGGAGGATCCCTTCAGCCCAGGAGTTGGAGGCTGCAGAAAAAACAAAGAAATAAACTTTTGATAGGGATGGGAGATTATTCTGGATTGTCTAGGTGGGCCCATTATAATCACAAACGTTCTTATGAGGGAAGTAGAAGGATCAGAGATGAAATAGATGTAATGACAAGAAATGCTGGCAGCCTAGATGCTGGAAAAACAAAGAAGTGGATCTTTCCCTGTGGCATCTAGAAGGAATGCAGGCTTGCCAACATCTTGATTCCAGCTCAGTGACACCCATTTCAGATTTCTGACCTCCAGAGCAGTAGGATAATAAAGTGGTGGTGGTTTAAGCCGCCAAATTTGTGGTGATTTATTGCAGCAGCTATAGGAAACACATACAGCTCTCATTAAGTATGCGATGAGCCAGCTTCATTTTGAAAGCTGAACTGCAGGGCAGCTATGCTCAGAATGTAAACTTGGGGCACCTGTGGCTCAGTGGGTGGGGCGCCAGCCCTATATACTGAGGGTGATGGGTTCGAATCTGCCCCTGGCCAAACTGCAAAAAAAAAAAAAAAAAGCCAGGCATTCTGGCAGGGTACTGGGGAGGCTGAGGAAAGAGAATTGCTTAAGCCTAGGAGTTGGAGGTTGCTGTGAGCTGTGATGCCACAGCTCTACCGAGGGTGATAGAGTGAAACTCTCTTTCTCTAAAAAAAAAAAGAATGTAAACTCATCAAATTAAGTTAGCTTTTTATAATGAATCAACAAACATGCAGACACTAATATCCTTCAAAAAATCTGATTTAATAAAATAACACTCTAATTGGTCATTCTCTTTATTTCTATTTTTAAATAGGTTATTTTATTTATAGGTTATATATCACCTGCAATTGTATAATATGAGCAGTATTCCAAAGTGAATGCTAAAACCCATGTAAAATTTTAAAAATGAACAGATTGGGGTGGGTAGTGGGCTAAAAATAATCCAAAGTCTTTGAATAGATTATTTTCTCATTTCCTGTGGAATAACAAGAGCAGAAAACGTAGCTGACTTTCTCAGGCAAAGCAGCAGATTCCTGGCCTCCAATCCCCTGAACTTCTGTTTTCACACATGCTGCCTCTAAGTTGCCTCTAAAGCGCTGGAGGAAGGGAGCTTGGTTTCCTTTCTTTCTTTCTTTTTTTTTTCCTCTTTTTTAAACTTTTACCCCCCCCCCCCCAAGGAGCTTAGTTTCTTGATCTTGTTGCTGGGAAGGGAGTGCGACTATGGGGAGGGTGGTTCGTTGTCAGGACAGAGGGATTCAGGAGTACAAGCCGCACGTTTTGACTGGGGTGGTCCCGCTGGTTGGTAAAATGCTGGTGGCATATGGGAGGCTGTCCACTCACACACACAGAATCAGTTTCTTCTCTGATCTAACAAGTTAATTTTCAAATTTACTGGTGGGAACCTGTGCAGAGTGTGGCACTGTGACCACCCTCCTTCTTGACTGGTTGCTGTGATCCTCTTCAAATCAACATGACCAGAGTCGAGTCAACACATCCATTTAATGTTTAAACATTTACAATATAATTACTACCTGGTGATGGCTTTTCTCTTTTCCTGACTCAAGTTGGTTTAAAGAGTAAACAAGTACGCTTCTTCTTCTCGGAACAAAAAGTCCAGAGCTAGAGCTTAGGGTCTGTTGACTCTCTAGCTTAGCCATCAGTGACTCAGGTTTTTTGTCTGTTGTGCTGCCACCCTTGGTGTGCTGCCTGGGCCTCAGGCTGGCATATGTGTCACTGCCATATCTGCAGCCTTTTCAGTGTCACAGCCAGATAAGACCTTGTCAGGGGAGAGAAGACAGTGGCTATCTTTTCTTTCTTAAGGGGGAGGAGGCCAGGCACAGTGGCTCATGCCTATAATCCTAGCACTCTGGGAGGCTAAGGCAGGTAGACTGCTTGAGCTCAAGAATTGGAGACCAACCTGAACAAGAGTGAGACCCTGCTGGGCGTTGTGGTGTGTGCCCATAGTCCCAGCTACTCAGGAGGCTGAGGCAAGAGGATTGCTTGAGCCCAAGAGTTTGAGGTTGCTGTGAGCTGTGATGCCACAGCAGTCTACCAAGGGTGACAAAGTGAGACTGTGTCTCACCCCCACCCCAAAGAGAATTTATCTTGCTCCTGATAGGTAGGGATTAGGTCACCTGCCCATTTCTGAAGCATCTTTTCCAAGGGGATGGATGGATTGGGTGGCAGGCAGTCCTGGTTTCTGTGCTGATACTCATCTGTGTCTCTTCTCTCCTCTGAGAGCCCTCTGATCAGTCTTGTTAAATTA